CTACTACTACTACTACTACTACTACTACTACTACTACTACACTCATTACAGTAGTTCTCAAAAATATGCGATTGGCGGTTTCTTTCAGTGGCCAAAAATGAACAAGGCATGTTCAAACGAATTGCTACTGTTCGGAATGGTGAAAAAAGAATGCGCATCTAATAACGTACTGTTTCATCAACTGTCCTTTGTGCGTGTGGAAATTCTCAAGACTCGTTCGAAATGGGACATTTCGTTGCATGAATGACGATTTACCGATACCTTGATCGTTATTCGTGATAAACAACTCTCCTCAACCAGGCACCGTCTTGTGCATTTATACCAACCGTAATAGAGCCGGAATAAAGATGCAGCCTGTTGGACTGAGCAAATGGTGTTATCTCGCTCTTCAGATCTGCTTACTAACTGTCTACTCCTGAAAGTATACAGTCGCGTCATGCACTTGCCCAGCAACCTAGTTACATTTCCAAAGCTGACTTAACCATCATAAAATTGAACCCATCTAAATGGTCCATATGCCGCCCCAAAGCTTAGTTATAAATAGTATCAGTTTTAAAGCAAATTCTTCCCTGTTCCGTTCAGCGGACATTTTGCTGACCTATCAGTTTCAGCAGAAGTGAATAGGCAGATATTCGTTTCATATCCTTGGAAAGCGCCACCTGGGTTATAAGCATAAACTGTTGACTTTCGGTAGAGTAATCACATTTGTACAAACCAACGTCGGTTTGAATGTTTATTGACGTTGACAAGAGTGAAATGCATTCCAGGCTGCCAAACAAAAAGATTTGGTGAGCCAAGTAATTGTAACAGTTCATGTGACAGATAAAGCCACCTAAATGAGAGAAAGGAGTTATCAGACTGCTTTTCTCTCAAATCATTTACTCTCTCTCTCTCTGTATGATCGCAGTAGTCTTCGATTACATCCAGCCATCCGTACTCTCCGCTCACCTGACATTCTGACTCATCCGATAGCAGAAGACTATAAATCGATTTGCAGGACCAATTCGAAATGCAATTTGTATTAGGGTAGCGGAGCAGATGGATGATAATTTCGACTGTATCGGATCAAAATGAAAAGCTATCGTCTTGCACTACCTTACAAATGGATGGAATACCCAGTTAATGCCATACGCTTTCTCATAACACATCCCGCTATCGGTTTGGTGATGACTGTGACGGCCATCGGTTGTGGTACTATGCTCCGACATGCTATCCGGTGTGCTTTCATCATTCCGGAAGGTCACCTGCGTTACGAATCAATGCCTCGGAATGAATACTACTTTAGAAAACGATGGTATCCACCATATGAACATCAGAAAATGGTTCCACCAGTTAGGATGCACTGTGACGGTAGTCTTGAATTCCCATATGACGAGGAGGAAAGTTATGTGCGCCGCGATGAACCGTGCAATCGAAGACAATCCGCTTAGCCATCGCTATAGAATTATGTGCTGAATCTTTCCAGTGAGGCTTGCTTCATAAATACATTAAAAAATAAATTCCAATCATAAACATATAGGTATCACTTGGTGGAGTCATGGATTTCTTTCTTTTCTGTTTTTCTAATGAACAACTTAAAAAGTCGGACAATTATTGGAACTTGCCAGAAATACTGAATCATCTTTTGTAACATCTCTATGCATTTGACTAACAACTCACCAACGCAGGCGGTCAGGTATATATTTCCCCATATCCGGTACGAAACCACACGGATGGGATGATCAGCACTCTGTTTAGCAGTCTATTCCTCGACGCTTTCTATTTCATTTTACCATCAAATATATCCTAAAAAGTTAAATGCGATTCGATTGGTTTCTGTTGAACATAACTCTTAATCTGAGGGACGGATTATTTGAGAAATAACTTTACCCGTGGCATACAGATATTATTTCTATCCTGATCAGGCCGATACTTTTCTCCTCTCAGATCTCACCAAAACAAAGTGTGGCCAAAAAGAAAACAGAAAGGTCCTTTCTATATCCTCATTTTGGTTACATGTGGTACCGACATGACGGTAGAGGGCGGTAGTGGCCCGGTGGTAACGTCACCAAATTATCACCCCGGGGATATGTGATCGAATCCCACCACCACCGCCTGTCTTGTGTGTTGGATGACAGCCCTTAGATTGGCAGCTTCCTTCTTCATGAAAAATACATCTTCGTATATTCAATAAAAGGAAGTAAAATGAAAATAAAGAAAAGAATTTCGGGTATCATCACTGGTCCAGGGTATTCCAGAGTGGTTTGATCAGGCTGGCCTTTAAGATGTGTCCTAGAAGAAATGGAGAGTGAAACAACTGATTGCCCAAAAATGATGGAACAAAAGCGTCAACGACGTTCATGGATAAGTGGCTGACCACTGGATACTGGTGGTAAGACCGTCAAGAACATGCCCAAACATCAGAAGTACTTTTGGTTGAAAGTTATGGCTCACATGTCCTCTAGCAGACCTCCAAGACTCTCCGTTTTTTTCTCAAAAGGATTGGTGAATCTAAAATGGTTAGGAAGATCATTTGTTTACATTTTACACAGGTATGACAGATTTAAAGTTTCAGGTTTACAACAAATAATCATGCGATTTCCAGTGCCGGTTTTGGTTGCTGTCTTTTGGCTGCCTACTTGGATAAAAGAGCAGAAAGGAGATAGGAATGTCGAGAGCAAAATGTATAGAGGAAAATAGAGAACTTATATGAACTGGGTTTCCAGGAACACTGAGTAGATGCACGAGCGTAGGTGTTTGCGATACTCAGCCATATCACTCAGCGTCTCTAACTAACGGTTGCCTTGTGCCCGAAGTCCCCATCCAAGGAACTTAACGGTACCTATGTGGCCCACTGTCGTGGTTAGGGTTTCGTACCCTCGTGCTTCAACTGTGTAAGTACCGCCAGTTGATATCGTTCCTCCATCTGAAATGAAGCTTACCCGGGAAGTAAAACACCTCAAAAGGTATACGGCCTCCGACCTGGATGGGCTATATCCATCTATTTTTATGAATGGAGGCTCAGCCTTGGTTTTGGAGTTAACGAAACTCCTGGGTTCCGTGTAGAAGAGGGAAAGGGTTCCAACAGAACGTGTGAATCAGAGCGCTTATTTTCACATAAATGACAAAAGTGCATTTTCTCGCCACATTTTGGTCGGATTCGCTTGGATCTCCCTCCGGCAAATCGCTGAATCACGGACAGTACTGAGTCTGACTGACTGTGGTCCAACTGTTAAGTGACTGTGGGTTAGAAATTCTACTTCCGTTTCAACCGATAAGCAGATTTACGTTCACTGAACGCGAAAATACTGCAACAAAATGTTTTAGGAGTAAAAGCAAAGCGCTTACCATCAAACATAACCGTCCATGGAACGATTGAGAACAGCTAAGGGACGCAGAAACAGTGATAAATCATCTCATAGCTTACAAATGACTGCTTTGTGTTCATACATGCCTGTGGTCAAATTGTTTGATCGATCAATCGGTTGATCGATTTACTGACTGCTTGAATTCTGGCTTGACGGCATTCGCATATACTGCAACGTATGAACCGGACTCTGCCCTCCTGCCTACACGTGGATCGGTCCTATTTGTTCCCTGGTTTGTGTACCGGCTACATATTTCCTGTTTATAATAAACTTACTGATTCATTCATCGTGTGTTCATTTGCCTATTAAATTTGGAACAAAACAGCGCCATTCAAGGAACGAGGATTGACAATCCCCAAAGCGCTGCAGCGCAGCGTTGTCATTGGTTAGCATAGCAGTCGGCGCTTGTTACACGGATGGCAGTAAGTGAACTATATATAAAATGGCAAACAGAACGAAGTTAGCAGATAAGAGGTGTTGTCAAGTGATCACATAGGACGACAGATAAATTATAGAGCAACAGGATTCATGCTTTCGACGGGAGGTGAGCAGGTCGAGAAAGATTAGGCAATTCGCATGACATCAATTTCACAGTTTCAGTTTCAGTTTGAACAACCATTAACCATGCACTTTCGTGCACCGATTTTGGTTTTCACAGTGCAAAAGAATGATCAAAATGAGAGAGAAATCGAGTCCAATTTACTGCCGGAATGGAATGCTGCAAACGCGTTCAAAGTGTAGCTGGATACGAGAAGTGTCTCGGCAGAATTCGGTTCAGGATAGCCCTATCAAATTCACTTCTCTGTTCATGGAACTTAGTGATATGCAAACTGCTTTTTTCTCTTATTGATAGGATAACATCAAAAATCAAAGACAGGTTCTGGGTTTTTTCACTCCGGTAACAGACCGTTTCTTTGGTAATGAACCAATGGAAATCACCGGGGTACTATTTAAACAATACCCGTTTTGGAATGATATTCAGCAGCTAAAGCTCAGGCAATAAATACTTAACTGAATGGAGAATACAGTAGATTCACTCTGTAGAAGTTTATCCGCATATGTCTCACTGTGTCTCAGAAGGTTCACAATAAAAACTGTATTATGTAAATTGTAAAAACATAGTGTTAAACAGGATTGTAAGATTGCAGTCGTTATGATTTCACCAAGGCAAAGCCAAAAAATAACTTGCAAAAACTGGGGTTCCATCTTTGAATCGCAATGGTTTCGGTAAAATCTAGTAGAAGCGCACTGATTTTGCACAGTATCACCAAGGTAGCAGTAATTCGGTCGAACTGATGCGATCGCAGGCAAATGACGTGCGATAGACGACGTTGGTGACTGTCTGGCCGAAGAAATTTTACCTGTTTCCCATGGGTTGAAAAGGTGTCTACCCACCGTGGGATATGTTCAGTCACTGTCAGTCCGGGTCACCGCACAGTTCGACCAAGTTAGTTAACCTAGCTCCCACACAAGATAACATGTGTTTAAGGTGTGATTTGGCATGAACTTATAAGGGCTGCTTAACTGGGGTGCATATTCAAGTGCTCCAGTTCATAACCAGTCAGATGGAAGGACAGCATTCCCAGTTGTTTGACCCATGTCACCTGACATTCCGCTTCATTTCTTCGGAAAATACTGAACCACACACACGCACATCGTTGGTTTGGCAGATGACAATATCAATACCAATATCATGCCAGCAATAACACATTAATTGACTATGTGTTACACGTATTCGAACACGTATTTTCCCATCAATTATGATGGACATAAACAAAGGAACAGTTACGAACCGAATAGTCAGAATTCTGTGAAAAATTAAAGCTGAATGAATAACAGAGGCAGCGAGTTCTGATTATAGTGTTATGGAATAAAACGAGAGATATAGTTGACGCGTGGAACAGGGCAGGGTGTGAATGTAGCGAAGTAAGCAACCAAGTAAATAATCAAATTAATAAATAGGCGAACATAACACCAAGCCGAAAGACCTTTGAAGATAATGACTGATTCAATTACGCCACAATGTTCACATATCCTTATGCATTTTGTCCCGTTTGAGAGATCTATGCATTATTTCCATCGGGTTACGGGCATTATTCAAGGATAAGTGAAACCAATCCACAAGTGATCGGACTGGCCAACTGCTATCATAATACTTGTTGTTCAATTTTTATAATACGGGCAGGGGATCATTTGTCTCGGATACGGGTCCGCATTGCGTTGTCGGCAACAAGAAGACCAAAGACAACGGTTACCACCATTGACAGAACGGGTTTGGGCATTGGAGGGTGACGTATTCGGTGGGATGTAGCACGCCCGTGATTGACACATGCACAAATTAGCGCGGTTCATCCAGATTGCATTGCAACCTGGACAAGATCTGTTCGCATAGGGCTCAACGCAGGTGACAGGGACAGGTTGTACGTACATGCATGGACTCATCATACTCATGCAGGAACAATATGGACGAACTGGTGTTTGATTCGGTGGGGGAACACCTCGGGAGATAGGCTCTATTGGACTGGGTAGTTCGGTGGTAGGTAATGGAGCAGATGGAACCGGTGGATAGGAGTTTGTGGCAGCCATCAAATCAGGATTCGTCTGTTCGGGATACGAAGTTATATACCGGGACGCAAATTGAGTCTGGTCAATGACAGAATCTACACCGGGGATGGGCTCTGGACTTACTGGATACACGGCAGCATCAGATTGACGTGAGTCAACCGGNTGGGGATCGACTTTGTGCTAAACCACAACAACTCCCTGGGCTTGTACGTTTAACGGTCTTGGATGAGTCGTCTTCAATTGCTGATTCCATCATTTCATTCATTTGAGGTGTATTTTGCCGGCAAAGTGTACTGGTTTCGGAGTTTATTGGTTGTTCCACAATTTCGCTAGGATTAGAGTCAGACATAATTGCATACGCTTGATCGGCCAAGTAGATGGTCGGCGGNCTGTGTTCGGTTCGAAGCGGACTATTTTCACGGCTTTTGTCGGTTCGTTTTTGTCAGGTGCGTCACGTATGCGATCCACATGCGTGGGAATGATTTGACTTTCGAGTCCGTCTGGACTAGGAGATAATGAGGTTTGTGTGATTAAAGGTGGCACAGTCTCAATCGTTTCAGGAACCCTAGTATTTGTGGGTAATTGTGTCTCTAAAATTGGTGATTCTTTACGACTGCGGAAGCAAAAATAGCATGGTTTTGGTTTGTCCTTTGACTTTGCTTTAGATCCATTCTGTGCAACATCCCCAATCGATTTCATTTTTTTCTCTTTCTGTTTAGTTTTGGTTTGATTACTCTTCGATTTTGACACACAACAGGCTTTGTTCTCCGTTTCGGGTTTTCCCAAACCGGATTCCGAGAAGTTATTACTTGATTTTCTAGCCATTATGACGGGTTCAACCGTGCTCACAGGTTGAGTAATAATGCTTCCTTGCGAAGGATTTGAAATCACTTTGCCTCCTTCATCAATCATATTTGTTGGCTGTGAGGGCTCGCTTGAACGCGATCTTAGATGTTCTTTAGCCGGTAATGATTGGTTTGCTTTTGGATTGATCGAAGATTGTTGGTAGAACATCGGGACCGATTGGTGTTCAGCCTGTTTAGGTTCATGGAAACAGTTAATACCACGAGATGATTTTCTTTCCGGTGTTCTACTAGACATGCTCGTATCACTGGCATTTCTTGTTTGACAACCGGCATCAAGATATGGCGATCTCGGCCAATTTACCGGGGACCATGGGGTACGATCATAGATAGGCATTGAGTGAGTCGGGCCATCAGCACCACTACCATCACAAGGCAAACATTTCAAAGTCACCGTGTGTGTAATTTCTATCGCATTTGGGCAACCGGACATTGGTGGAACGACAACTGTCCCGTTTTCTCTGCTGACGATGGTATTAAAATCAACAGTGACTGATTTATTTACTTCTGGTTTAGTACTCATCTTAGGTTGTATGGACAAATTACCTTCTCCAGTGGATTTGGTCATTATTGGATTATTGTAATTCAAAAGCTTGTCACCTTTGTTTTCGGATGAATGCATTAGATCTAGTGGCTGGGAGTGCTGAATGGACACATTGGGTGCGGAGAGTGAGAGTGCGGAACTGTGGGTCAGCAGTTTTGGTCTGAGATCTAATTGCTCGCTGGCGGTTGTCAAATCAATCTGACTTTTAGTCATTTCCGTCTGTGCTAATGGGTCCGGATTTCGCGAAAGCGCATTTTGAAAGGAAGTAATTGAACTTCGATTTACCTGATTCAGACTGTGCGGTGCCCCGCTAGGTAAAATAATCCCCTCCGATTCAAAATATGTACCCTCGTTATATGGTCCGAACCCGATAGCGGAATGTTCACTACTCAGCCGTTCCACGGCTGAATCCGCTCCAGTACGATGAATTTGCAAATAGTAATTTTCCACTGATCCGACATCCCTATCCCCGGGGTCTCTGTCTGTATGATTAACATTTGACCGATTTCGTTCCTCAAGCAGAGGCATGGGAACATGATTTGTCCAATTGTGTTTTATTGTGTGTAGAACGCACTCTTGGGTTGAGGTCCACAACTGACTATAATGAACCGCAGGGCCATCGTTCATTTGCTGAACCAATTTATTTTGTGGCATTGATTGGTCCAAGCCGATGAGGTATAAGGGAAACTTATGCTGGAGTTGAAACTACGGCGAAGGATTACCGTTGATTCATAATTATTTATTTTGTCAAACTGGTGGTGATCCTTGTTCTTCTGTAGCGACGATCAGTCTTGATTTATTTATCGGTTTCGTCAAATAATTTTAGGTCCGGTCTTATATTTTTACGTTAATCACGTCGCGAAAGCAGTGAGTTTAATAAATGATTTTACGAGAATTCAACCAAAGAATTTGTTGTAGAATTTAAGTCCTCCGCTTTTTCTGCTTCACTTAACTTTCAGTTGAACAAAGTGACTGCCGTTTGGATGGTGTTGGTTTAAAATCACACGAGGTCATGTGATTCTAACAATCAATAAAACTTATGCATCCTTCAGTGGTGTTCCTTGATTCACATCCAAATAAAATATGGTCATGCATGCGGTTTTCTCTTGAGTAAACACGTAGAAGGTTTGTAAAAAGACGAACTGGAAATTTCTGGTATATTTTCTTCCAAAGTGGCCTAAGGCTGTTCTTTCCAGATGGAAAGAGTAACTTGGTAAGACGTATAACGAAAGCTGTCAAGCATAATATGATCAGTTCATACCGGGAGAAGTACACGCCGAACTCGCCTAGCAGATTGCGTTACGATACACTGTATTACTGTATTGGAATTTGATTCAAAAACTGTATAGTGCAATACATATTACAAGTATTCCTCCATATTCAGGATCTTACCTTATTTTGTTGACCAACCATGCACTGAATAAACGAAACTCGACAATGATGAGAACTGAAGTAAGATTTTTCCAGCGGTCTAAATACGGTTTAAAACCTTGCAACACTGCATACATTAAGTGATGTGAATTTCCTTCGTAACAAATAACAAAATTGTCAGCCTGGTCAAATCAATTGCAACAGAGCCACGGATAAATATATCACAAACCAAACCATCTCCAAGTGTCTCTGAGGATCAACAAATAAACCGCATTCCACAATGAAAATTTATTGAAATCCGATTTCAAAAAAAGAGACGAAAAAACAACTAGGGGAAACGATAGAACGCGGATGAAAAAACCGACAAACAAATGCAATATAACACATTGTGTGATGCACCATGACGAGCAGAAAAAAGACGCACTAGAAGCAGCACCCAGGGAAAAACCATCAACAGGTGCTTGAGCAACAACAGCGTTGGAATCAGATATAGAAGCAATAACCACAAAAGCAACCGGCATTTTTACACGCTGTAGCAAAATGCTCTTGAAAATGGTAGCAAAATCAAGAACAGTAGGACAAAAATGATTATTGATGTCAACTGATCAATCTTAATAGGTTGCATGGTTAATTATGACGAAATGTTGTATGGACGAATACGTATGCGTGTATAACGACACAACTGTTTGTTGAGAACCACTGGATGTACAAACGTAGGAAGTTATGAAAGTATTGTACTATATTGAAGATTTAGTGAGTTATATATAAGCTTTGAAACAAAATATATACGTCCGTCACAATACTGACAGGAAAAAATCGGTGAAAAATGTAGAACACAGAGCGTGAAAAGATATGAGGTAAATGCAGAGTTTATTAGAAAGCTGAGAACAAACACTTTTGTTGTCGGCCAGTCTCCAGGTAAGGTAAAGTATCAAAGAGCTGCTGTATGCATATACGCAAGATGAGATAAGTTTGTATTTAGAGTCGTTGGATGGGTGGGATTTGCATGATAATGGTGTGGAATATGGATGGTATCACGTTTAATACTGTCAGCAGACTTCAAGGACGCATCGATATGAAAATAACATATATTGTCAATCAGAACAAATTGCGGAACCTGAAAGACATGGCTGATCATTCGAGGCCATGTATCAGCAAACGAAGTGTAAAAACCC